ACAAAGTGCTCCAACACGTAAAGTCATAAATGGCTCCCATCTGTGATATACTAGCCATACTGAGGTGCACTGTGGGAGCCTCATTAAGGTGCATGGACGTTTGCATGTTTTGATGGATGGCCATGCCCATGCTCATCTACAGGCAGGATCATTTCTTTGCTTTTTAGCACCACCTATTGAAAATGTTTGAATACACAGAAAATGGAAGCATGTATCTCATTAGCGATGTGACTTGTACTGCCCCTAAAAAAACAGGTGCATCTTTAAGGATCCATGGTCCTGTAAGTAGAGGGCAGTACCCATGGTAGTGAAATAGGCATGTGAGTGTAAACAGCTATTTGTGTTTGCACAGAAGGGTGCATACATTTTAATATGTGCTTGTGAACATGAATCTGTCTTAACCCAATCTGTTAGCAATCAGGCAAACTCTATAAAAGAAAAAGAAAATGGGCGTATTTATTACTAGTCCATAAATAATTTTATGGGCAGAAAATAATAGCACTCCTAAAGAAAGCCTGCGGAGCCAGTAATGAAAGTCTTTAATATAAACAACCATGGAGGAAGGGAACTGACCACAAATTCCAATAAAATGGAACATGTTTTAACCCCTGGTGAGAAGCAGAACGTGAGCTTTCACCAAGGTGGAGCAAAGATAGGCTTCTCTGCCTTCTTGTTAGAAGTGGAAGAAATGAAGTGTATTTGCACTGTTGTAAACACAGAAGGAGTGATATAAGCATGCAGATAGGTAAGAATGAAGACTAGGTAGATAAAGATCTTGGTAAACACAGAGAAAGTCAGGAATACAGGAGGAGCCAGAAAGGTATACTCCCTTTCACAGACTAATGCTTGATGCTTCATTAAGTCTTCTGAATGCCTTAACAAAACAATCTACAACTACCCAGGGCAACATGCCCCTAATAAACTGTGCAACGAGAACAAGACAAATAGCATCTTTAAGATAATACGAGGTAACAGCCACATAAAACTGAACCGTGATTGCGGTCAAAAAAATCAACACTATAAAAATATTATCTCCCTAATCAGTGTATCAGTTCTCTGTGTCTTCTCTGCTCAAATCCTTCTGATGCAACTAATATCTAGTTGGCAGAGTAGGGCCCAGAGCAGCTGGTTGGATGCTGGCATACCTCACACATTCATTCATAGTATCCAGAGCTCTCCCAAATGACAGAATTTCTGGTTATGGAAAAATAGGCAAGAGACCCCCAGCGTGGCTATCACAATGCAGCCTATACAGCCAGCACCAAGGAAAAATAAATGTGTTAAATTGTGAGCTAAATGTATTGTATTTGGAACTACTGAGGGAGATTATAAATATGGATTCATGTCCTCAGCTGAATTCACTGGGCACAAAACAACAACTTGGAGTCATTCACTCTCTTGGGTTCAAGCTGCATGACATGATGGAGTCACTTTACTGATTAATTACTTTTTTTAAATGAAAAGACAAAAAATTCAGCTCTTTCCCCTGAAGAACATCATAGATAAACTTTGATATGGACAGAGGGACAGTTATCTCAGAAACTCAGGCCCAGATCAAAAGAAGGGTCTGACTCACCTCTTCTGTAACTCATCTCTGAATGACTGGGAATCTCAGGCCAACCAGCTCAACTCTCAAAAGCAGTCCGCCTTCTCAGAATATGCAGGGTTTGAGGGTTGTAGCATGCATTGTGCTGCCACTTACACCAGAACAAGAGAAAACTGAGTGTGAAACACTGCTACATTTGTTTGCACCCACTGGGGCAAGCCAATGGTGAATCAGGCTCCCCAAGACTAGTTACTATTACCAATCTTGAATAATCTACCTTAGTATTGGTCCAGCACAAAAAAATAAATAAATAAATAAAATCATAGTTTCACCCTGTTCTGGACACAGTTGATTGCACTTAACAGAAAATGGCCAGGAATGAGTTTTTTCATCTCCTAATCACTGCTGAAGGCTTCTCTTTCAGATATGGTTCTCTGTGTAGAGATCTACATCCTGGTAACCTTCAGAACAGGTGGGTGCAACAGGTTCAAATAATGTGGATGAAGCAAGGTATACAAGTAGTACAGGCTCAGGGCTCTTACGACTGACCTGTAGAACCCACAGATGCATCTGATGCATGTATGATGCTGTTGAGTCTTGTCACAGATAATTCATGATTACTCCAAGGTAGGGATATTGGCCTTCATTGATAAAAACCAAGGGCAAATAATAGGGAAGCCTGCTCCAGCCCTGACAATGTAGCCTCACTTACTTTGAGCCAAACTCTCTCATCATCGAAGAGCATTTTTTCTCCATTTTCATTCTGCATATCCTCTTGGCTAGGGGCGCAGGGGAACCAAGCAGCAAGGGAGTGACTCTGCAGCAGATCCTGAAGGTGAGATTTGCATACCTGGAAAGGACAGATTTTCAACCTCAAAAATAACAGATTTTCTGCCCCAGCTCCAGGCCATGCTGTTACCAGGGCTGGGCCTGGGATCTTGCACCAGTGACAGCATGTGCAAGATCCTAGGATGCCCTACTCCATGGAAACTCTATGCAGCAACTGGATGCAGGGGCTACTGGGAAATGGAGTCCGGCCACCAGGTGGCATAATCCCATTAATTTCATGGAAAGGTTTGCAACTCATACCAGCTGAGGATCTGGCTCAGTAATAGCTTCACAGAACCAACTTCCAAATAATCAATATCCAGGGCCAGGTGCTCAGCTTGGTCCTATTCACTACACTGATTTACACCAGATGCACTGTAAAATTTTGACTCCTCTGACTTAAGGAACATTGGGTTTCAAGAAGCCTGTTCATTGTATGAGGACAGTTCAAAGTAACAGGGAAACGAGGGACTGCAATATGGCAATTGTCTCCAAGCTAACTCCCCACTTCCTTATCCCTTTTATAAGAAATATTTCTGTGATTCTCTATATTTATCTGAAATCCATATTTGGATATTGATGATTATGATGACTGCTCCAACAAAGTGCCAGGCATTTTACAGGTCAGTATAAGAAGAAATAATAGCACTTAACACAGTGCATCAATAGCATTATCCCCATTTCACACAGGAAAAATGAGGCACACAGCAGGGAAACAACCTGTCCAGGATCACCCAACAGGTGAGAAGCATAGCTTGGAAGAGAGTTGCAGCCTAGTGCTCTATCTGCCAGGCCACACTACTGTTCAGGAAAACACTGGCACATGTGGAGGAGGACCAAAGGATACTTTACAAATTAAGAAGACAATATATCATTTAAGAAGATGAGATGCAAAGGAACACAGAACCACAGGAACTTCCAGACCAGACAAGTGCTCTATCTAGACTGGCATCCTGTCTCAGAGCAGCTAGTGTTGGAAGCTTCAGGGGAAGTTGTAAATTACTTCTTATGTGAAGTACGTGTTAACATGCAAATGGGAAAAGGTTTTGCTAGCTAAGTTAGGCCCTTTGCCACGGGCAGCCCATAGACCACCGAAAAGAGGGCTGAAGTGGAACGTAAATAGTGCATGGATCTTGTGCTGGCTCTGCAGAGGAATGAATTTCCCTCCCAAGTCACTAATCTTTTTTGAATCCTCTGTAAAGCTGTTGGCCTCAATAAAATCTGGTGGCAGAGGATTCCAGGGCTAACTGTGTGGCTCCTGGTAAAAAAACCCTTTTCTTGGAGTCACATTTTGATCATGTCACCTTTTGCTGAGGCCCAAAGCAGTGCAAAGGAGACCAAAGTTTACCCCATGTCACAACAGGGCCAGCACTGCTGTTTGGTTTTTCTTTCCCAGGTTCCACTGACAATTGTAAATCACCAGATTAATGATAATCTCTTTGCTGCAAGGGTGAGGGGTCATGGGACTTTTGGAAGAGATGCTCTACAAGCAAGTCCAGGAAGGTTAGGCTAAGATCATGTCAGGTCTGGGAATTCTCCCCATGATAGGACGGATATAAGGAAATACCTTGCTCTTACCTTCACAATAGGCTCTCCAGTCACTACGGAAACAGGGCATGACTTCTCATCTTGGTGGGAGGCAAAGGCCTGTGTTGCCCACTGATCCACGTATCCTTTGGGAGTGTAAAGGCCACAGTCTAGGATACTGCTTCTTCTCTCAAAAGGCTCACACACTCCATCACCATCGTGGACATAACACAGGCTCGGCTCTCCTGCAGAGAGGCCAAAGGCAACAAAATTTATACGGATGCAACCCAACATTTATCTATGATACTTCTGCTGGGGCAGGGGGTCCTAGCAAGGAGAATAGCTCACTGCAAGGATGATATAACATGGGGCAGGGAAGAAAGGTCAACACCTTCTCGCTTGCTGGGAACAACAAAGACAGAAGGTTGCACAGAACCTGTGTCTCACTGTGTTAAGCAGGGATGTCAAACATATCACCTATGCCTACGGGGCTCCTGGTGGGCCCAAGAATTTTGGGGCAGGGTGAGTGTAAGGGGTAGGGCCTATCACATAATTTGGGATGATGGAGTCCTGCTGGAGATGCCTTTCTGAGGTTGGAGGGTGAATGATGGTTCTGCCACCACTGCTGCTTGCCCAGCTGCTGCTGGCCAGGTCCGGATCTGATCTACAAGGAGCCCTGATCTGCAAGGATCCAGCCCAGAGAGGGTGAGTTTAACACTCCTCATCTAAAGAGATGGGTGTGAGTAAAGACAGCATGGATATGCTCAGCATGTCTGGACAGGACTATGATTAGCAAGCAGCATCTGGGCTTGTTGACAGATGGAATCTACACAACAGGGACAAGATGGGATCTGTAAACTGCCCCAGGAGCACAGCTTGAAGACAGATATTCTGCAGTAATGGGCCAAGTGACTAGGTGTTCAGAGGAGTGTCACTGCAGGGTCTGGACAGAAAGGGTAAGGTGAAAGGTCTGCCCCAGCTGACATGGCCCTCCAGGTTAAAGTGCTCCAGTTTCTGCAGCCAATGGTGAACACATGATAGTCTTACTTCTGGGCATGGCAAATTGTATCTGGAGTCAGAGCAGCAAGCGGACTAAGTTGTCCTTGGTTGGCCTTGGTTACCTTTGCTTCCAGACTGCCTTGCCAGCTCCTTGACCCCCATGTTCCAGCCCAGACCCCTGACTTCTGACAGTTGCCTCCAGGCTTTTGTTTGGTGATCTCCCACATCCTGGTCCCTTACAGCTATAGCTGCATACTCCAAACACCCTAGCCAGTGTCTCCAGTCTGGATCCTTGCTCCTGACTCAAGACTCTATGGTAGTGCCCTGCCCAACCACATCCTGGTGGCTTACAGACCTTGGCTTGTTGTGACCTGCCTGCTCTTGACCCCTGGTTTGTGACCCTCTAGGGTGAAGCCCCATTCACTTGCATCCCAGTTGTGCCCCTGACAGCGTGATCTTCCTGAACTCACCAACACAGTTGAAGCCCTTTTCCTTTTTGCATGTCCTAGAGCAGCCATCTCCATCCAACAGATTCCCATCATCACATTCCTCATCCATGCTCCTAGGAGAATGCCAGCAAGAATCATTAAGACCACCCTTGCCTACAACTTTCAGGCTTGAATCTGATAATGATTCAATGGTTAAAAGCTACTACTGAGTCAAATTTCATGGATGGGGCCATGGGATGACAGCGTATGGAGAAAGCAGAGTCTGACTTTTGTCAGGGGGTAAAGGGCTGGAAAACCCCAGTGACAGAGGGGTTTCCCATTTCCCACCATTCCCATTCCCATTTTCCCCTGAGGTTTTAGGATGGGATTTTTGTGTAAAAGGGCAGCTACCAAGGCCCAGGAGCAGATCCAAGTGGGGTGCCATGGTGCAGTTGCACATCCTCCCTTGATCCCTTTGAGGATAGTTGGGGATGGTTCTGCTTTAAATAGGGGGCTGGACTAGATGACCTCTTGAAGTCCCTTCCAACCCTAATTGTCTATGATTCCTGCTCCACTCAAACTGAAAATCAACTGCTGGGGAGAGGCAGTGGTATTCAGGCAGCAGTGAGAGTCAGTTGGCTTCATAGCTCATTATAATCTATTCAAACTATCTGTTCTTTTGTAATTTTACTATCT